TTACCTCTAAAATGTCTTAGTACACGTATGTTTGAGAAGACAGGCCCGTGGCGGACGGTATTGCAGTTAAAAAACCGACGAGTTTTCACTTGCGTAATACACTGCACACCTGAACTAAATATTACGCGTAATTGATACCGAAAATAGGAAAATGTGCCCCAAAATAGCAGAATTTTAGTTGCAAAGCTTGTGTAATGCCAGCGTCATACCACGTAATACACGTAATGTGTAATACTCTGCACATGAAAATTCCGAGTGAAAACCCCCTTGTTAAAAAAAGACGCCTCCCCCCCCCCTTTCCCCTCCAACAAAATTAAGTCGACCCCGCGGAGACGGGGACACGTTTGATGCCTAACGGCATTGCCACCATATGTTTACATTTCGTAATAAAGGTATACGTAGTACGCCTACCCCCATGAGAGCCTCCATGTTTGCCTACTCCCGCCGGCCGTAAGGGGCCACAAGCAAGGGGCCCTCATATGAGCAGAAGCGAGGAATGTATTGGGAATGGGAGAGAGTTCTTTTACTTTTGTATAGTGAAACTCTTAGCTGGCGACTTCTCCTCGAGGGGATCCCCTCAGTGGTAGCGTTTTTTTCGGAATGGCCGGATGTTGTGACTAAAGTCACTATACCAGGTGGCTGATTCACGCCGCGCACTGTCGTTTAGTTATACTGTACGGCATGCATGCGTGCGTGCGGGTTGCCTACTCGCACGGGGCCATAAGGAGCCGTGGGCAGCGAGCATAGGCAAACCCGCCCGCACCCGTGCATGCGGTACAGTATAACTATGAAAGTGCGCGGCGTGAATCAGCCACCTGGTATACTGTTGTTATTACCACTGTAACATGTATTTTATTTCCATGTAAAATAAGCTTTCTGAGGTAAAATTCATTAGAGGTACTTTGTTTAGAGGTAAAATCCATTAGAGGTACTTTGCTTTAGAGGTAAATATCCTTAGAGGTAATTTGCTTAGAGGTAAAAATCTTTAGAGGTAATGTGCTTAGAGGTGCTGAGCCGCCCCCACAGCACCAAGTAAAGATTGCACTCAGATTACAATACGTTTCATTGCAATGCAACTCCTGCACTGTTTTAAAAAAATCTACTGAAAATTAACAACAAATTTTACAAGGAATGTGAACACATCAAATTTTCATCAGATATTTGGGTTGCTCCTATACAATATGAAATATTACAAATGGTTTGTTATGCAATTATATAAAGTGCTATCAAACTTAACAACAGTTTTTCTATAGTGTGACTGTGTGGTGATTATCCCAGTCAACAAAACATAGTCCCGAACACATCCCTGGTACAACTCGGTTGGGATGTGGGACGTCCCAGCCAGGACGTCCCACAGTACTACAGAATGCAACATTTTTTAGACCCTGAGCAGAAGATAGGCACCTCCCACCAGTACGTCCTGAGTGGGAGGTGATTGTCACATCCCGGAAGGAACGTCCCCAGAAGGAACTGACAGGACCCGGCTATCATTTTATGTAAAACAATATGACAATATTCAAAAGTCAAGTGAGATTCGATGTTTTTTATTTGAACCTTAAATATACTCATCCAGAAGCAGGCCTCGGAGAACTCGGTCCAAATTGACTGAGTTTACAAAAATTATGTATGGCAGTCATGTGATGTATCACTTGACCACAAATTTACCTCACACTTGGCGAGGGGTCTATAAGAGAGGTATGCGGATGATCCGCGAGATTTAAATTGGACATCACATAGAATCTAAAATTGTGCATGAAAGTGAACATTGAGTGCAATTCGACTTCATGCCCCTTGCTTTATACGCAAATAACGTAACTTTTCAAAATACTTATTATTTCGTACATTTTAACGCAAATATAATAAAACCTACGAGGATCGCGTCGCTAGCGCTATCTGTAGGCAAAATATAGCACGGCACACGGCTGCCACTGGCACTGGCATACCAAAGACCTCCCGCAGCAGATGTATACAGGATGTTCATCATCCTGCTAGTCTCCCTAACCATGGCATCCCGAGCAGGTTCTATGTAGTACGTCCTGGTGACATTCATCCTGGCACATCCCTAGCAGATGCATACGTAACGTCTTTTCCAAAGACATGCTGGTCAGCACCCTGATTGAACGCCCCGAGGAGCAGCCCGACGGGTGCCCCTGAGGAGGTACTCGTATGTTACGTCCTGCCCGATGACATGCTGAGTAGCTCCTCGGCGGGACAACCCGAGGAGCTTTACCGCAGGTATATCCTGAGGAGTAACTTCTCAGTACCTTAACTCAGAAGCACCTCCCAATCAGATCCCGCTCAGGATGTCAATGTGGTCTTGCTGCACACAACACATCCTGATTTGCTCCAAGGCATGTATTCTTGGGATGTCCCAGTAGCACGTGTGAGGGATTCGTGTGGGATGATCCCAAACTCCTCCCAAAAGTAAATGGGAGGTGCTTTGTTGACTGGGTAGCAGTCTTAAATTTGGGTCCACTACGGATAAAGTAGAACAACTTCCTATATCAGATGGGCATAACAAGTATTGTTATCAAAGAGGAAAACTGTGCAGGTTCAGTAGTTCGTATGATTAGATTTCACTGTTCATTGCCTTTTATTTTGTTCTTTCATGTAGACTATAATCACAACTATAATCATATATTAATAATACATATATTTACATAACAATGTAAATTATGGACAACTATGACTTTTATATTGTCTTAACGCAACAACAATTTCAATAACACTTACAAGATGACATTATTCGGAGTATGCCCCTGGCCCTTTACTCCTCTTTCGGAGGCGATCTCCCCAGCCATTCCCTGGTGTATCTGCCACAGAAGCAAGGAGTGTGTTAATGTAAGAAGGGTGAAAAGACGACATTTGCAAGGAACTTACCTTGGCTTTCCTCTACTTGAGCCAGCTCTGAGGAGGGTTTTGGCAGTTGGGGCTGCCCTGGTTCTAGACCTAGAACATAAGATGTTAGTCTTTTTCTCAGCGTCAACATACACATCTGTAAATAGATCCGTTCTAAACCTACTAGCTGCCTTCCTTCTCTTTGCTCTTCTCCTATTTGCTCTGCTAGGGCTGGGGCTGAAGATTGGTTCTCTCCCTTTCTCTCTCTCTCTCTCTTCCTCTTCTGACGCCTCCTCACATGGCTTCTTTGTTGTTTTGATACTGTAAACAATAGTTGTACTTTAGTACTCAATATTATTATATTTTGGTGATATGTTACAGAACTGGATGGAACCCCTCACTTTTGGGAGTAGCCTCTTCTTCAAGCTGAAGGTGCCAGCCCTGATCCTCCTGATCAGCATCATCAGCATAGTTGACAACTGGGTAGATTGTAAGTACAATATAAGTTTTAGAATTGTGAATATCGAACGAGGGGTGGATAACTCCTCTGCTAAATGTACACCCCTAATTCTGCCTTATTCAAAATAATTCAATTTCATTCGAACCAATTCAAAAATAATTCAATCAATTCAGTCCAATTCAAGACAATTCACATTCAATTCAAGCCAATTTAAGTCAATTCACGCTAATTCAGTAAAATAAAACCGCAATAATTCAGTCCAATTCTAAAACAATTCAACCAATTTAGTCCAATTCAAATTTAATTCAAGCCAGTTCAAGTCCAATTCATGAAATTTATACACGTAATTTAGGAGTTATCTACCCCTCGATAACTACTTATAAAGTTAATACTGGTGTTCTCTTACCTGTCTCAGACGGCTGCTCCCCATCGCTAAACAAATGCTCATCCAATGGATCGAAATCAGTGGCAAGTACTGAAGATACTAAGTCTGTAATTAATACATTAACGTTGATTTTTAACTAGCTCATTTTGACTAGAGAACTGCCAGACCATGCCCATTTCAAAGAACTTCAGATTTTAAATTAACAGAGTTCATTTTGTTGCAGAAAATTTCCCTTCATCTCCTACCTGGTGAATCTGAAGCAGCAGCAACAGCAGCAGGAACATCCGAAAGAGGAGTCTGAGGCTCAACATCAACATCATGGTGGACTGCTGTAAGTACAATTTACAGTTCAGAATTTTGGATGATTATAATATCAATTTGTGTAATTGGTATGGTCTTACCTTGCGTTGTTCAGGTTCAGTCTCAGTATCTGCTGTGCAAATTGGGGCCCCTTCCCAATCAAAGCCGACTAGAACATCGTCAATGACATGTGTTGAGACTGTAAGTAATACAATACATGAACATTCATCATTTCGATCATTCAAAGGGGTCTAAACAAGGTAGATGTATGCCAGACCACGTCTCGCGTAACAGGCTTCGCGATATCTCACGAAAAACTGTGACGCTGCGACGCGCCTGGCATACATCTACCTTGGCCTGCGGCGCTGACACACGAGTCGGGTAGTGGAAAAATGGACACAATCATCTCGACAAAATCATCTCGACTAAGCATGCAGGATTATGCATTTTTTCGCTTATTTTCGTCAAAAACACCCTCTTGCCCTGTAACGGTTTGAGCTAGAGCAAAACGGACAAAACTTATGCCCAACGGGCTCTCTTTTGATGAGTTACCCCATAGGAAACTATAAAAAAAATATTTTCAAAAAACGTCATTTTTGATTTTTTTTAAATCCAATTTTTGAGCTACAATGCTCATCTTCGAACTCGACTTGTCTTTTGATGGCACAAAACGACCCTGAAAATCCCAGGTCGCTCGCTCAATTCGTTCTCGAGTTATGGTGCGGACAGACAGACAGACGTGCAGACAGACAGACAGTCAAAGTTTTTTCCGACCAGACAGAGTAATAGGCTTCGCTAATCGGTCAGCCAACAAGAAGATTTACCATACAAATTTGTTGGCTGAGCGATTAGCGAAGACTACTACTCCGTCTGGTCGGAAAAAAACTTTTTCTGTCTGTCTGTCTGTGTATCTGTCCGCACGAAAACTCAAAAACGAATTAAGCGAGCGACCTGGGATTTTCAGGGTCGTTTTGTATCATAAAAAGACAGATCGAGTTCGTAGATGAGCATTTTAGCTCAAAAATTGGATTTTTAAAAAATCGATAACAACAGGTCCCAAAAATGACGTTTTTAAAAAATATATTTTTTTGTGGTGACCTAAGGGGTAACTCATCAAAGTAGAACCCTACGGGCGAAAATTTTGTCCGTTTCGCTTTAGCTCAAACCGTTGCGGCGCTAGAGGGTGTTTTTGAGGAAAATAAGCGAAAACATGTACAACCCTGCATGATTAGTCGAAGTGACGGGCGTTGACGGGCCGGAGGCCCGCATCTTTGTGCACATTTTTGCACTACCTGACTCGGGTGTCAGCGCCGCAGGCGAAGGTAGATGTATGCCAGGTGCGTCGCAGCGTAACAGTGTTTCGTGCGGTATCGCGAAGCCTGTTACGCGAGACGTGGTCTGGCGTACATCTACCTTGTCTATCTTGAATAGGTTTATTACAGCTATCTGATTGATTTTAAAATTTAATTAGTTTAATACTTTTATTCATTTTTGGCTGAGCGATTAGCGAAGCCCATTACTCCACTGACAGTGTTTCGTGAGATATCGCGAAGCCTGTTACGCGTGACATGGTCTGGCGTACAAATAGCTAGTATTAAAGTTTTAAAAGTTATTCTGGAGCAAAGTTGTTTGCAAGATATGAAAGGGGAAAGGTGCTGGGAGCCAGAAAGCTTCAAACACAAACAACTTAAATTAGTTGTCCGGGTGTATCTGATGTTTGATAAATTATCAGCCAATTAAAATGATGGAGAAAAACTTAACTTTGGTTAAATTCAGTCATTTTCAAAGGGTTTCGAATCTTAGTTAAAAACAGTCAAAAATGTAAATTAGAATGGGTATTTTCCACCTATATGAAAGAGTGTTTCATTAGTTTTTAATTTGGTCTTGCTCTTACCTTCTTCAGTTGTCTGCTGCTCCAGATTGACGCTGCCCTCAGTTGCAATGTCACCTACTACATCATGTGCTGAGCCTGAAAGTGAGACATCAACTTTAATTATCTTGATCTATGACAGGGGTGGGGTGTGGTTAATTTCTGTCTACTAAATTTATGCAATAATTTTGATGCAGGCAAATTCTTGTGGTCCCACCCGTTGAAGTTCAAGTACCTTGGGGATCTTGTCCTTCAGCATCCGGAGGATCATCTACTGATTCTAGAGCAGAAATGCAGAAGGTACAAACATTTTAAAACCATCAGAAATATTGCACAGGCGATCCAAATTACTTACCAGAATCTTTAGTTGTTTCTTCAGTTAGTGCACTGCAAACAGAAAATATAACAATCAATTATCGTCTACTGTAATTTTTAAAGATATCACATTATATTCAAACATACTGGAAAATAGGTAGTACTCACTTCTTAACAGTGTAAGGGGCATCTTCATCAGCCCACAAGGTGTTGGTTTCAATGGCCTACTCCAGCGATGCTGGCTGCAAGCAGCCATACATGAAGTCCCTTATTTGTCCTGTCCTTTCAAAATTATGGACTGCTTCAGTAATGTCACCATCAATTACGTCGTGGGGGTCTTTAGGCTTGTAGAGGGAGCTCATAGCACCCTCTTTGCCATTGCCCCCACAACGCAATCGTTCAAAGATATAGTTGTATTCATTTTCAAGAGCTCGCAACAAGTCTAGACAGAAACATTTTTTTTTGTTAGTTTTCTTCGTCATCGTCAAAAACTGTCTTCAAATTCGAAAGTTGGCTGGTACGCTTTTGCAGTGTGAATACCGTGTCGCCTCCACACAGGCACGATTGCGTCATATCAAATCCCCCTTTCGATGAAAAGGAAGGTTTTGATGTGCTGCTTCTTTTGTGGCTAAGCGGATCCTTGCATCTGCATCCCCGGATTAGTAATGCTTCAATTAGTACTTTTTGACTTGTGAACTCCGTATCCCCTTTTGTAGGTCTGACCTTTGTTTAATGACTTTTTGTTACAGGTAACGCGTTGTAATGACCTAATGAGAAAATATGTAGTAAGGGGTTAATTTAGAACTGTACATTATGAGGTTGGGCATCTGTGGAGCAGTGTCGGGGCGAAAAACAAGTTATTTATTGCAATGTTCTAGTCATACTAAAACGCATAAAATGGGGATGACTGGATGTAAAATATGAGTACGACACACTAGTGGAGCAAACAAAAGAACTCCATGTACTGCCTTCATTCAAATGACCGCAAGGTGCGGGAGGCAATATTTGAGTTTTATCATTGATTGAACGTGACCACAATATGGTCTTTTAACGTTGTACTAGAAGTACGTAATTTGAACTGTCGCCACTTTACACGTATCTTATTTGAAGGTAAATAAAACCATTGCGACCCAAAAACCTAGCAAATTCGACAAAAAAAAAAAAATAGGAACTCCCAAATGGCCCGTATTCTGAGAATCACCCACTTATATATGTTATATATTCGAGTAAACTAAAGCGTCCGGCGAAGGGCCTGCGGCCCTAGAAATTTGCTCCTTGGACATGACAAAAGACTGTAACGGGGCAACACCGTGACTACAGCCCACCCTTCTGCTTTGCTTTAGAATTTTAAAAAACGAACCCGCGCAGTGTTTTGGTTGTATATTGTTTGTTAAACAGTCCTAAAACTTGACTTTTTGCCATTGTTTTCAATATATCCACCTCTAGGGCCGAAACAGTGAAAGATACGGCAAATCCGAGGCTAGTTACGGATTCAGAATGTGTTGTTTTGGGGGGTACTTCCTCTGACATTTTACGATTGGACGCCTCCTTGTACGTCTTTATGTGCAACGTGGTCATTTTCGCCGTCTTTTCGTCGAAAAAAGCACTCTAGCGCCCAAACGGTGCAAGATAGAGTCAAACGGACGAAATTGTCGCCCAAAGGGCTCTACTTTCACGAGTTACCCCTTAGGAGACCATAAAAAAAATTCCTACTTTTTGGACCAACCCCTATTTCTTTGTTACCCCCTTTCACCCCCTTAGGGGTGGTTGCCAGGATTTGCACCAGGCGTTTCGTTGTCCAGGAGTGACCCCTAAGATACCCTGAAATTTGTAGACCTCTAGCTCATCTCCTGACAGACAGACACGAGAGCGGTTGCATAAGCCCGCTTTAATGCTTTTTAAAGAGCAGAAGGGCGGGCTAAAAAGGAATTAGTTACCACTTATGAAAAAATTGTCAGTAGCTGTTAAAGGTTTTTAAACAGCAAGAATACTGACAAAGGGGCTCAAAAAGTCAGTAACAGGATAAGATAGTTAACGTAGAATCATAGTTGAGAACATACCCTCCCCATGAAAGTAAAAGCTAAGATGAATAGCTGCAAAACTCCAAGGAGGTTGGGGTCCACCCGGAAAGTGCCATCGGATATCACCGTGTCATCTTTGCCCACACGCCGCAACATGCGTGGTGAGGCAAAGACTAGTGACTCCTCACCAGGGGGCCCAACTACTCCCTGGAAGAACTGCTCTTCTTCTTTAGCAGTTTTTCCTGCAACAAAGAATTTCGATTATATGCCTGACTAAATTTTAGAGTTTCAGCAGAATTTGAAGGATGTCTAAAAACACAGTATGTAAATATTATTAGAGGTCACAGAAAACACACATTATTCAGAATCCTCCAACATTCTGTCATTACTACAGCATTCTACAATTGCAGTGATTGTACATGAGTCATATTTGTACTTAAATTAAGTTATATTTGTACCACACTGCAAAATGCTTGCTAAGAATAGGTTTGTATTGCAGACGGTTTTCTTTGCAGCTCAAAGAGAATTTTAAATCATTGTAATATGAACTAGTTTTCCCCTTGCTTGCAAACTATTTCTTTGCAATGCAAACACACAGTTTGCAGGGATTCTGACAGCTTGCAAAGAATTTCTTTGCTATATGAACAAATTCTTTGCAATACAAAGCTTGAAAATTTGTTGCAACTTTGCAAAGAATATAGTTTGCAAGCATTTTACAAAGCAAAAACACAGGCACTCACCAAATCTTTCAATGCGAGGGTCTCTCAGTAGTTGACCAGCCTCCTCAATAGTGTGAGGGTCTGGTCGATGGCCCACTACCTTTTGGTGTCTATAACGGACATTGTCTCTCACATTCCTTGCATTAAACAGATCTCGAAGATCATCGTCTTCAACTCTGAAAAAAAGGCAATCTTACAAAAAAAATTAAAGAAGGGCCAATTGTCTTGAAACTCATAGGTGTGATTGAGCTGCCCCAAGAAAAGTTACAAAATAATTTGGAATTCATTCACAAGCAAGAAGGGGCTAGCAAAGATATTTTTCAGTGTAGCATCAAAATGTTAAAAATCTTTCAACATTAAAGTCAGACTTGAATATTGAACCATCCTTCTGTTGTCAAAAATTGTTCAAAACCATACCATAAAATTTCAAAACATGTAGCAGTTTTAAAGCAATTAATGCTATTCAGTTTAAATGAATTTTAAAAGGCACGCAATCAGATGCTACCTTCAGTTTCAAAAAAGAGGATCATACAGCAGAAAACTGCACCCTCAGACCTTCACTGATACTTTTTTCTCATATATCGACTGTATCCTGCAGGACTTCTTCGTCATTCAGTATATTTTGCAGGGAAGCTTTACTGATAACTTGTCAGTATTGTAAAAGAGAACTCTTAGCAATGAGTGATTAAAACAAAGGTTTTCATTAGCTTTTAAAGGTATTCGCGTGTGGCAGGATTACTGACTGAGAAGGAATAGGAAATCCGTAACAGAACCAGTTTGTGGCTGCGACACTTTACTAATCCCAACCCTACTGACCACAAATATTTACGCAATAAGTACCTAAGTAGTCAGCAATTGCTTGCTTTCCTCGCGCTGCCCGTGGAACTCCATGTACTGCCTTCATTCAAATGACCGCATTCGGCGTTCATTAGATCCCTTTTCGACTTTTCCCTCGATTTTTAGGTCGAGTAGGGGGCAAGGTGTGTGTGGGTGGGGGGGGGGGAGGCAACTCGTTCACTTATGTGTCTGTCTGTGTGTCTGTCTGTTCCACTAGAAGGAGATGTGCTAGTTTTAGGTTTAGACAGGTACTGGTGGCTGTTTTAAACGACACATCAACCGGTTTTTTCTCTCATCCCCTTCTATTCTCTATTCCTGTTTTGATGTTATTTGCGTTTGGGTTGTCCATCAGTCAACTTTGGAGCCTATTGTGACCTGTCAGTGTTGATAATGTGTTAACTTATAATTTCCTGATAAAAATAAAATCAAGGGTTTACCAATCTACCTATTCAAACGATTCCCTCATTCTCGCAAACTTCCCCGGAGCAGGAAGTGACGTCATATTGGTGTTGACAGACGGCCATGCATGTTGTTGTTGTCGTGGGGGAGTTAGCATGCAAGATATTTACTTTGACTCCTTTTCATACGCTCTTCTTTTTTATAATCAGCCGGTAGTTTGAATGACAATGAATGAGAAATTATTTCTGTAAAAATAATAAAGATTTCGTTCAGTGTCGATCAGCAGATGTAGAACTTGTCATTCAGAAGTGCCATCAGGGCTTCTTAACCTTTTAAAGGGACTTTCATTGTTCATGTACTCATCCTTTTTAGCGATTGGTTAAACTAGTTGATGTCATTCGATTAACAACCGCCGTTCGAAGACGAAACGTTTATTTTCGCGGCATATAGGTGCTGTCATTCGTGTATAACCACTGAATCTGAACTGTAAAGCGTTAGAAGGTGTAACGGGGAGCTAACAGCAACAACTTCATTAAAATGTTCTCATTTGAAAGTATGTCACGATACGATACGCAAGAAGTTCGCCTTCTTGTCGTTATCGCGCCCTAAATTGGTTGTAAATTTACCGTTTTGTAGTCGTGATTCGTTTCGCAAACAACGACAAGACGATCTTTTAACCAACTTTTATTCCACACGCACTGTTAAAAGCTTACGAACTAAATACTTTGCAACGTTACGAACAATTTTCGTTCTTTGTATTGCAAAGAAATTATTCGTATTGCAAAGCGATTGTTTGTAAGGCTAGACGGGTCTTACGAACAATTGGTTCGCATTACGAAGTATTTGTTCGTAAGCTTACGAACACTTAGTTCGTAACACAACGCTTCAAAATCCTTCGTAAGCTACGAACGTTTTGGTTTGCATTACGAACCTATAGTTCGTAAGCAATTCACAGTGCGGGAAATCCAAATGCTTTTACCATCGACGAATGAAAGGCAACCAGGACGAAAAGGCGAAAGAACCGGGCGAAAGAAATAATAAACTAATATTTTTTCACAGTAGCAGACGGATCACAGGTCACAGGGCTTCTTGGCCATCTTGGTTTTCAAACACTCGGCTGCGGCGCGGGAACAGCCGAACTCGTCGTCGGGAGCAGTATAAAAAATTTCTCGGCCCTCCAGAATACTTTTTTTAATATTTTACAATATTTTTTTTTATTTTTAAATATTTTATTCAAAAACTATTTAAAAAATAATAAAATATTCAGGGGGGACCTTCCGGTGAGGGGACCTTCCGGCACCTACCCATATTTTTTCACAGGTGTGTTATTGGATCCATAAGCTAACATCAATAACTTGGAAGGGATTTGGCATAACTTGCATGTATTCTACAAACTGCGGCACACACAGCCAAAGATGTTCAGCGTATGAAAAGAACGCCTCGTTTGTTGAGTTTTGATTACGAAGTAGACATCAAAGGTTCCTGGCAAAAAGATGGTTCAAAGCGAGGGGTCGCCAACTCTCCTCAGCAGTGTGCGGAGTATTATAGTATTATGCGGTATTATGGAACGTTTCAAGGGCTTTTATGTCATATTATTTGATATCATTAAGTATTATAGACTATTATGAGATATTTTAAGGTATTATGGGGTATTTTGTAACATACTAAGGAGTATTATGAAGTATTATAGAGGTATTACGGGACCCGTGTACGGAGTATTTTGCGAGTTGGCGAGCCCTCGGTTCAAAGCAAGCCGTCACTCAAACGGGCCGAAGCTATATTACACCATGAAAATTCACCCAAAGGCCGCCGGCAGGCCAAGCTAGGCCCGCTCCCTGCCGAACCGAGTTGCCGGTAGAGCGAAGCCCAGAGGGCTCTACTTTCACAAGTTAACCCTTTCCTCTACCCCTTTACTTTCCCCTTTCCTCTCTAATTCCCTTTCCCTTCCTCTTATGCAGCATGTAGGTCGCAAGCCCCACACGGCCAAGTGCCGATCTAGAGTGGGGGCAGGAAGAGAGAGGGGAGGGTCGCGTTGACCAGGGGTTAATCAGAGGGGGAAGGGGTGGCCGGAGGGGAGAAATAGAGGGGAGGGGGAATTAAAGAGTCCATTTATTGGGGGAGGGGTGCATTTGATCTGGGGCCTTTTGAGCAGGGGCCCGTATTACTACTATTGCACTTCAACCAATAACATTTGACCAAATGGTACGTTTCACCCAAGCATTTATAGTTCCAAAAATTTAAAGTCCAAATTACAACCAGTTTAAAATCAGTCCAAAACATAAAAAACAAAAACAAAAAATCAACATAATTGTAAAATTGAAGAATAAAAATCAAAAAGGGGAAATACGCCGCGTCCTATCAACAGGATCCTATCTGCAGCTTGCGGAATACACAGTGTCCTATCTGCAGAGTGTCGAATACACAATGTTCTATCAGCAAAGCACGGGTTTCGGGATACCTCTAAAGAAATGCTTATTACTATGTATCCGCTCGTTCTTCTTCACTTTTTGCAGTCAATAATTAAACACTGGACCTTTACAATTCTTTCCGTGTGCGCAGATTGGCCTTAATGTCTTCTAGTTACTTGTAAACCACACAAAAGTGAAGGGCTGCACCCAACCCCGTTTTTCAGATAGAACATTGTGTATTCGACACTCTGCAGATAGGACATTGTGTACTCCGCACGCTGCATATGGGATTTTGGTGTTAGGACGAGTCAATTAACGTTTAGAGGGAAAACTTGTAGCCACACGTCCAGAGGAAGGACACAACTACCGTCTTCCTTGTGCTCCTGGTAGCGGAGCACGGTGCGCTGGAGCCGGTGGGTGAATATCTTTTATTTCTTCCTTTGGGGCTCTCGAATGGGGATGGAGCGCCCCAAGGGCAGCCATCTGATGTTGGACTCCGTCGTGGCCTGCTCCTTCCGCACGTCACGCAGAAGATGGCAGACGGGAGGCACTTGCACTATTTGAATCGGCCGCGCGGTGGCGGCACCGCCTGGTGAGTTCCTTCGTTTGCCGCTGCGCTGCTCGCCATGGCCCGGCTCGGCCGGAAAAAGAAAAACTCTATCGAGTTGTACCCGAGGGCTTGGAAGCGGGGTAGGAGCTGGTGGGTGCTTTTAGAGTACGATCATTTGTCAACTTCGCCTTCTGATTGGACACTTTATTATATCAACTTTTCTCCACTTTCGGAACAATATCGCTGACACCTCTGAAACATGCGACTGTTTGCTTGGATTTCATGTCATAATAATAAAGGTCTCCCCTGAACCGGCCGTAGGGGAAGACCGGAAAGTGTTCATAGCGTTGTACAATCTCACTGCTGAAATTACGGAGAATGTATGTACCCTGCAAACCAATGAAGATGTTGAAGTGGAAACAGAAATAAGACAAACCAAATTACTTTCTCTATTTTCTTCGACCCAGCACACGGTTTAAAGGACCGCCCTAATTTGTCCCCCCAATAGCTACCGCTATTCGCACAAATTCGTGCAAAATTCTATATTTATTTTTGCTGAGCTCGCGAAGCGAGCGAAGCTCTAGGGCAGACTTTTCTGGGCCAATTCCGGTCACCGCTACGGAATAGCTTATAGCAATAGACTAAAAGTTACTAGCAGTAGCAATTGCAAAAACTATGATCTATTACTTAACCTATCATCGCTATTGCCTATCGTTAGGCATATATATATATATATATATCGCGAGCTCAGCAATGACCCAGTTAGAAATGGATGGTCGAATCGACGTGGAATCGACGTCATTTGGTGAGTAGTTCTCTGCGAATGGGTCACTTTTGACATGTGTACGTCGAGGAGAAAAAAATCTGTTTTATCGAGTTTTGCTTATGGTTTGTTGCCTACTACCGTCCCTAGATACAAGATGTCGAAGATCCAAGCTCCCACTCATAAGTTACAAAATTAACCTATAAAAGCCTCATAAGGAATCCTTATAATGGTTACGGATCTTACAAATTCGTACAAAATCTGACATTTTAGAGGAACGAGACGACCGATCGGCAAGGGCGAGACGTATTTTGGGTCAGGTTCACAACACGGACACAACCCCGTTTCACTTCATCAAAATTCGCAATAGCAACTTTGCAGAAGAGTGCACGGATCTTACACTCTATGCTTGACACTAACAGTTTTAAGGTGTTCTAATCAGTGTAGGCGGCGAACCAGACGAGCCACACCTGCGTTTTAAGTGTCTTCTAGTGGAGGAGACATAACTCTATCTATGGGAAGTTTCGTGGTTGTCGTATGTTAAGTTTTGCGGTAGAAAAGTGGCAAAAACTGGCTTCATGACTTTTGTTACCTTTCCATGGAGGGCATTTTTTGAGCCAGTCGTGTTAAGACATCTGTGACCTTCTGGAGACGGGCCAAGTGTGAGGACATAGCCTCATGTGTGTAGAACTCGAGACCACCTGCGGAAATCAGTTTTCATATCCCCTTTCGGCGTACAGAGAAGTTTAAATTCGAAATCGGGAGTTGTGGACATGCAAAATGGTTACGGATCTTACATTTCAGACCCTTTCCGTTCAAATATCGTTTGAGGGGGTGACTTTGATGTCAAAGTAACGTTTGTTTGCTGTTTAGTTAGTGAAGAAGCAGAGTTAGCAAAAAAAAATCGTTCAGATCGGTTAGGATTTCGATGAAATAAAGCGTGGACACGAACGTGACCCATTCGCGGAGCACTGCTCTTGTATGTGGGCAGTACGTCGATTCGACCTTTATATGGTCCCGAAATCGACGTCGACGTCGAATTTATATGGTCCCGAAATCGACGTCGACGTCGAATTTATATCGATGAAAATAGCGCATATGACGGTATTTGAACCAGCGAACCCTCCCAACAAGCTTCCTGACCTACTGCCCTATCCACTACGCCACCACATCACCTGCTGATATGAGGGATCTGTAACCATGACTTCCTACCATGCTACACCCCCGTTAGTCGCTCGTGTACCGTATATTGGAACTTGTTGAAGTAGTAACCGAACACATAAAACGCTTTCTTATAGTATGCATGATTTTGCCGAATAATTTTAAAGTTGCTCTGACTGTTTATTTTTCAAATGCGGTGGGGCATTGACGGGCAATCGACGAAGAATCGGCGGGGAAGTACAAATGCTGCCTCGGCGCAACGTACCCACTGGTTACGCGTTGTTGCACCGCGCCATCATGTATTTTGGAGTAATGCATGCTTTGAACACTAAGTCCTTATGCACTTCGTTGTGCATAAGACTTGCAGGATTTCATGCAGCCATAACATTATGCACAATTTTCTGCATAACTATGTACAGTGTGCATAATTATGCACATTTTGTACACAATTATGAATAAAAATTTGTGCATACTTATGGCTGCATGAAATCCTGCAAGTTTATGCACAACAAAATGCATAAGGGTTTAGTGTGAACACAGAATTTAAGCTAAATCCACGTGGGACTTGAGCCGTCGATTCAACGTCGAATCGACTCGACGAAACTCTAAAAGTCCTGGTTAGCTGACAAATACTTGCAAATTGTAATAATATGCTAACCGTACAGTTGCAAACAGCATAAATCTAGCAAAAACAGTTAGGTCGGAAATTCGTCGATCATTAAGAATTTACGACGTGTTACTCCTAACGAGCACTTTTCGACTCGACTCGAGACTCGAGATTATCATCAACGTCGATTCGACCATTTATTTCTCACTGGGTGAATAACAGTGTGGATTCGGACCATTAGACACTTCTCGTGCGAATAGCTGACTCTAGCACACTGCCCAAATTCGTGCACTCACAGTAGGCTTTGCTAAGGGCACAAATTAAGGGACCACTGTCCCTTCTTGTGCGAGTAGCTAACTCTAGCCGCACCGCCCAAATTCGTTCACGGACAGTAGGCTTTGCTATGCGCACAAATTTGGGCAAATAGCTCACGCTCCTTAGCCGCACAAATTTGGGCGAATATAATTAGTCTTAAAGGGCGGGGTTCACTAAGTATTAAATGAGTGAGATCCACTGTGATGTACAAAGAGAAAAATATATCTAAACAAATAAATACAGCTATAAAGGCATTGCGTGCCGTTGCGGTCTGTCGTGCTATATAGCGCTTCCCGGACGCGACAATTTACGGACGTGAGATATTCACTGTTTCTAGGTCTCTTTTCTACACATCTATAGATTTGCAACGAGACGGAATGACTTTTTTCGCCTCTGATCGGTAAATACCAGATGACTGATTAACCCCGCGCACTTCTGTAGCTAGACTGTACCGCACGCACGAGTGCGGGCGGGCTTGCCCATCGCCCCTATCAACGGCGCCTTATACGGGCCAGGCGTCTAGGCAACCCACCTGCACTCGTGCGTGCGGTACAGTCTAACAACAGAAGTGCGCGGGGTTAATCAGTCACCTGGTATGTGCCATCTCAAGAACTATAAGGACCGCGGACGTACTTACTTTGCGAAAAGGGCAGCTCTTGGGCAACTTGGGGTTGAGGCGGGAAACTTCTGCAATGGCGTCGTGCGCAATAGTGGCGAACACTTTGCAGACCTCGCCGGCATCTATACGGAAAAAGTTTTCTCTCCAGCCGGCGACGTTGTCCCACTTGGCGATGACAACTTTGACCTGCTCTGAATAACTAGAGGAAGGCACAAGGAAGGGCAACAACGTTCGCTGCAACAGGACAGAGTTCTCACCCCAACATCGCCGACGCCGACGTCCCTCATCAAAATTAGTTGGCCGTCGAACACTGGGTACTTGGTAGACGGTAAATGGTGGAGAGAGCCCGTAAAGTTTCCCCCCACGGCGCCCTTGGGGACGGTGCCTTCGGGGCACTGTGACGCCTCTCTGAACATTATGTTGTACGGGCCCTGCGGAAACACGCGTCCTAGCTGCTCACCGCCGTTGCCTTATAGAGGTTCCCCCAGAGGAGGTTCTGAGCCGACACCGACCATAGCGCCTGGAACGCCAAGGGTAGGCAAGCCCGCCAAGCAGTTGTGTCCGGACAGCGGCCCGCCCTTAGCGCCCAAGTGCAGGTAGCTCGCTCCGGGTAGTTCACTCGCGTCAACTGGAGGAACATTCACTCTGTGGGCACCTTAAAAGCCTCGGTCACGACAGCTGAGTGGCCCGTCGAGCACGATCAGCACTTACGGCGTACGAATGGATGGAGGCACGCAGCGAGGTGAGGGCGAGCACAGTGGGCACGACGCAGACAAGCACGGCCAGCACCGAATTTCCCATGCTGAGCTCGCGGGCCCACTTCGACCTGCGCGCCACGGCTTGCGCGGATGCTCTGTAGAGACCGCGGTCCTGTATGAAAGTGGTCGAGACCTCACGTGTTGACTACATCCAACCAGCATCATGCACTCTCCCGTGCCAAAGCCCCCCCTCTCCCAGTGGTTCGGCGACCCCCTTTTAACGAGGAAAGGCCGCTTCAAAACTGTTGTTAAACGTTCCACGGTTTTGGTCAACCCATGTAAAAACTCAAAACACTCAAAAAAATGTGGGGGATCTGGGAGATGTGCCCAAAATTCGCTGCGGGTCGTTCCTGCGAAAAGCGACGATCGGAATATGTGAAGCTACCACTGTTCGTGCCATTTTCAGAACTTCTTCTACTTGTCATGGACGAGGTGACTTTGTGTTTGCTGCTGTGCGCTTGGTTTCTTCCTCTTCCTTTCGGTTAGGTAGCTTCATCTTTTTCCCCCCATCTGCCAAAAATTAAACCTTTAAACAGAAATGGATTTTTTTTAAATATTTCCAGAAAAATTTGAAAAAAATGAAACTTTCTTCGAAGAAACAGGTTAGGCCCGTTCTTCCGGCAAACCAAGTTTCGTCAGGGAGCAGGCCTAGCTTGCCCTACCGGCGGCGTTTGAAAGGGGCCTTCGGCCTGTCCCTTGTGATGTTTTATGGTGTAATGTAATATAGCTTCTATCGGAAAACGGTTTGAGTGACGGCTTGCTTTGAACTTTCTTTTTGTCAGGTACCTTTGCTGTCTACTTCGTAATCTTAACTCAAAAACCGAAGCATTCTTTTCATACGCTGAACGTCTTTGGCTGTGTGTGCCGCAGTTTGTAGAATACATGCAAGTTATTGCAAGTCCCTTCTAAGTTACTGATGTTAGCTTATGGATCCAGTAACACACCTACTAGCTATATGTACGCCAGACCACGTCTCGCGTAACAGGCTTCGCGATATCTCACGAAACACTGTTATGCTGCGACGCGCCTGCCGCACATATAGCTAGGCCTGCGGCGCTGACACCCGAGACGAGGTAATAGGAGTGTATATACAATTTTTCGAAATGAAGTCTTTTTAACTGAGCAAGAAACCCATAAAAAAATGTTTGATAAAAATACATTTTGCGAAGTTTTTGATTTTTAAAACAGCCAATTTGTGAGCTAGAATGCTCATCTTCGAACTCGATCTGTCTTTTTGTGATACAAAACGACCCTGAAAATCCCAGGTCACTATCTCAGTTCTTTCTCCAGTTATCGTGCGGACAGACATACAGACAAACAAACAAACAGAATGAAACTTTTCCGGTCAGTGGAGTTATGGGCTTCGCCAATCGCTCAGCCAATGAAAAAAATACATAAGACTAGACCCAGAAGAAGTTAAATATACTCCCAAGCACACTCCGAAATGACTCCGAACGTGTCCGCAATGATTCCGCTATATAATCGCTGAGCCAAACTCAGTCCATGTCGATGGGGGGCAGGCGATGTCACTGTCGTGAGTCTGTCTGTCTGTTTGTGTTAACGTTCCTCTTTTTCTGGAAAACGGCTTTTCCATGGACGAAGTGTGAGTTTCACTTAACATCTATAGTTCAAGGAAAAACAAGTGGGAGCTTTTCGTTCGTAAAGGTTTGA